TCAACTCCCACCTCCGGGAGAACTTTGAACATGTTCCGAGGGAGGTGGGGGACATTGAGTCTGAGTGGACCATGTTTCGTGCCTCTATTGTCGAGGCGGCTTACCAGAGCTGCGGCCGCAAGGTTGTCGGTGCCTGTTGCGGCGGCAACCCTCGAACCCGATGGTGGACACCGTCGGTGAGGGATGCTGTCAGGCTGAAGAAGGAGTCCTATCGGGCCTTTTTGGCCTGTGGGACCCCGGAAGCAGCTGATGGGTACCGGCAGTCCAAGCGACATGCGGCTCGGGTGGTTGCTGAGGCAAAAACTCGGGCATGGGAGGAGTTCGGAGAGGCCATGGAGAACGACTTCCGCACAGCTTCGAGACGATTCTGGTCCACCATCCGGCGTCTCGGGGGGGAAAGCGGTACGCCACCAACACTGTTTATAGTGGGAGTGGTGTGCTGCTGACCTCAACTCGGGATGTTGTGCGTCGGTGGGCGGAATACTTTGAAGACCTCCTCAATCCCACCGGCACGTCTTCCACTGAGGAAGCGGAGCCTGGGGACTCTGGGTCGGGCCCTCCAATCTCTGGTGCTGAGGTCACCGTGGTGGTTAAAAATCTCCTCGGTGGCAGGGCCCCAGGGGTGGATGAGATTCGCCCAGAGTTCCTTAAAGCTCTGGATGTTGTAGGGTTGTGTTGGCTTACGCGACTCTGCAATATTGCGTGGACATCGGGGGAAGTTCCCCTGGATTGGCAGATCGGGGTGGTGGTCCCCCTATTCAAAAAGGGGGACCGTAGAGTGTGTTCCAACTACAGGGGAATCACGCTCTTAAGCCTCCCTGGTAAGGTCTATTCGGGGGTTCTGGAGAGGAGGGTCCGTCGGATAGTCGAACCTCGGATTCAGGAGGAGCAGTGCGGTTTTCGTCCTGGCCATGGAACACTGGACCAGCTCTACACTCTCAGCGGGGTCCTGGAGGGTGCGTGGGAGTTTGCCTAACCAGTCTACATGTGCTTTGTGGACTTGGAGAAGGCGTTCGACCGCGTCCCTCGGGGGGCCCTGTGGGGGGCCCTGTGGGGGGTACTCTGGGAGTATGGGGTACCAGGCCCTTTGATACGGGCTGTTAGGTCCCTGTATGACCGGTGTCAGAGCCTGGTCCGCATCGCCGGCAGTAAGTCGGGCTTGTTCCCAGTGAGAGTTGGACTCCGCCAAGGTTGCCCTTTGTCACTGATTCTGTTCATAACTTTTATGGACAGAATTTCTAGGCACAGCCAAGGTGTTGAGGGGATCCATTTTGGTGGCCTTAGGATTGCGTCTCTGCTTTTTGCAGATGATGTGGTCTTATTGGCTTCATCAGATCGTGATCTACAGCTTTCGCTGGAGCGGTTCGCAGCCGAATGCGACGCGGCCGGGATGAAGATCAGTTCCTCCAAATCCGAGGCCATAGTCTTGAGCCGGAAAAGGGTAGAGTGCCCTCTCCGGGTCAGGGAGGAGGTCCTACCCCAAGTGGAGGAGTTCAAGTATCTTGTGGTCTTGTTTACGAATGAGGGAAAAAGGGAGTGTGAGATTGATAGGAGGATAGGTGCAGCGTCTGCAGTGAAGCAGGCGCTGTACAGGTCTGTCGTGGTGAAGAGAGAGCTGAGTCAAAAGGCGAAGCTCTCAATTTACCGATCAATCTACGTTCCCACCCTCATCTATGGTCACGAGCTTTGGATTGTGACCGAAAGAATGAGATCTCGGATACAAGCGGCTGAAATGAGTTTTCTCCGCAGGGTGTCTGGGCTCTCCCTTAGAGACAGGGTGAGAAGCTCGATCATCCGGGAGGGACTCAGAGTAGAGCTGCTGCTTCTCCACGTAGAGAGGAGCCAGTTGAGGTGGCTTGGGCATCTGTTTAGGATGCCTTCTGGACGCCTCCCTGGTGAGGTGTTCCGGACACGTCCCACCGGAAGGAGGCCCAGAGGAAGACCCAGGACACGCTGGAGGGACTATGTTTCTCGGCTGGCCTGGGAACGCCTCAGGATTCCGCCGGAAGAGCTGGCCCAAGTGGCTGGGGAGAGGGAAGTCTGGGCCTCCCTACTTAGGCTGCTACCCCCGCGACCCGACCCCGGATAAGCGGAAGAAAATGGATGGATGGATGGATGGATGGATGGACTTGACCCTGCAGCTTGTTCAAACTTCAGGCCAATCTCAAAACTTCCATTTCTTTCTAAAATCTTAGAGAAAATAGTTTTTAGTCAACTAACCAAGTTTTTGAATGTAAATGGAATTTTTGAGATTTTTCAGTCAGGATTTAAACAACTGCACAGCACCGAGACAGCTTTAGGTCGTTTTCACACCAAATAGTCCGGTAGACTCGGTTCGGTTCGGGACCAATATTCATGACCTTTTGTTTACATTTGAGCTGGTGTGTTTGCATTCACACTGCACTGTGCAGTCGAGTCAACCTGTTGAACCAACCTGTTCCCCCACTCGCCTGTGGGGGCGCTGCACCAAGAACTACTGAAAGAAACAACACAAAAACCTCTGAAGACACGTCTTCTTCTTCTTCTGTAAATAAAAATAAAAACGAAGTGGCATCAAGTTTTAGCAGTTTTAGGAGTTATATTTTGTCATTTTTCAAAAATGGACTCAGCATGAGCAGAAGATGAGACAGAAGACCATGGAGAATATAGTTTTTCCACACAAGGCAGCTGACGGCTCCATATAAGGTCAGAGAAATGCATGTTTGTTTACCCTGCGGAGCGGGGCCGGTCTGTTTACATTCACACCGTACTCGAACCGCGCTGGAGTTCGTTTCTACCGGACCGAGACCTAGGTTTTAGCACGGGCCAGAGTTTGCCTTTTTGTTCCGTGACAGAGTTCGATGGTGCGTTCACACCTCCCTAAACGAATCAGACTTTCTAGGAAAACGAGCGAGAGTTCGATTAAAGCGGACTAAACAGGGCTAGTGTGAATGCACCCTTAGTAAGGGTCTGTAATGACATTCTGCTAGCAAATGACTCTGGTCAGTCTGTGATGCTGGTACTCCTCGACCTTACCGCTGCATTTGACACTGCTGATCACAGCATCCTTATGTCACGGCTAGAACACAGGGTTGGGATTACAGGGGTGGCACTAGAATGGTTCCGTTCGTATCTGGGTGACAGGAGTTTCTGTGTTAACTTTGACAATCATTTTTCTGCTTCTGTCCCTCTTTCCTGTGGGGTCCCACAAGGCTCCATTCTTGGACCCCTTCTGTTCTCATTGTATCTGCTCCCCTTGGGGTCAATCCTGAGGAAGCATGGTATTTCGTTTCACACTTACGCCGATGATTCTCAGATCTATCTGCCTTTAAAACCAAACAGTTCCTGCTCCATCCTCCCTTTGCTAAAATGTCTTTATGACATCAAGACTTGGATGGCTGCAAACTTCTTGAGTTTTAATGATCAGAAGACTGAGGTCATTGTCTTTAACCCAAGCTCTACCACTGTCACTGATCCTGTAAACCTGCACTCCCTTCAGCCACATCTAAAGCAGTCGGTTACCAATCTCGGGGTAGTGCTAGACTCGGACTTTAAGTTTAATAAACAGATCAACTCTGTTCTACAAAAAAGCTTCTTTCAGCTAAGGCAGATAGCAAAGCTGAAGTCCGTTCTGTCCAGATCCGACCTTGAAAAACTAGTCCATGCATTTATTACAACCCGGCTGGACTACTGTAACTCACTTTATGTTGGGATTAGTCAGGCTTCACTTTCACGTCTCCAGCTCGTACAAAATGCTGCAGCTCGGCTACTAACAGGAACTCACAGGTTTGAGCACATTACTCCAGTTCTGTCCTCACTTCACTGGCTTCCTGTGCGTGTCAGAGCTGATTTTAAAATTCTCCTGCTGACATTCAAGTGCATTAACGGCCTTGCACCATCGTACTTCTCTGACCTTCTTCATCCTTATGCTCCTTCTCGGGCTTTGAGATCATCAGACCAGCTGCTTTTGGCCGTACCAAAAACCAGCTGAAGCTCAGAGGAGATTGAGCATTTTCAGTCATGGGCCCTAAACTTTGGAACAATCTGCCCATCAACATTCGACAGGCCACCTCAGTCTCTGCTTTTAAATCTCTCCTAAAAACACACTCACTGACATTTAACACAGGGTGATTGGATTTAGATCTAGTTCTTCATTGATGCTGATTCTGTTTATGCTTTTGTTATTATTCCTATTTAACACAAGGTCATCAGACCTGATTTAGTATTTCAATGTTTCTGACTGAGTTTATGCTTTTTGTTATTATTTCCTTGACTTTTGACACAACGTGATCTGATTTAGTATTTCATTGTTTCTAATTATGTTTTCGGTTTTATATTTTTATTCCATGTGCTGTAAATATATCTTGCTACTTTTTATTTGATGATGTGATATTTTTGTTAAGCACTTTGGTAACAGTTTCTCTTTTAAATGTGCTCTATAAATAAATCTGACTTGACTTGACTAATCACGCCTCACCAGGTCACATTGTCATTGCCAACGTGGGTATTAAGGTTCCTCAGCAGAATGTAGAAGACCCCAGGTGAAGCACCTTCTAGCCCCACTGCTAGGGACTCCAAGTAGGCTGGGTACTCCAACATGCTGTTCGGCACATAGGCATAAACAACTGTCAGAGACAGTTCTCCTACCCAAAGGCACAGGGAATCTACCCTCTCATCTACCCGACAAAACTCCAACACATAGGTACCAAGTCAGGGGGCTAAGAGTAGACCCCACACCTGCTCAATACCTCTCACCTTGGGCAACTCCAGAGTGAAATATGGTCCAGCCCCTCTCAAGGAGATTGGTTTCAGAGCCCATGCTGTGTGACGAGGTGAGTCCCACTATATCTAGTTGGTACGTCTCAAACTCATGCACAAGCTCAGGCTCTTTCCTCACCAGAGTGGTGACAATTTAGGTCCCAAGAGCCAGCTGTAAGGGTCAGAGTGCCAAGGCCCTCACCTTTGGCTACTACAACCCATGGTATCATGCAACAGACCCGTATGGCCCCTCCTGTGGGACAACAGGAAGACAAACCCATTTAATTTATTTGGGCTTTGCCAACTGGGCCCCATGAGTGGAGGCCTGGTCACTAGGCACTCACAGGCAAACCCCTCCTCCAGGCCTGGCTCCAAGGTGCGACGAAGTAACCCATATCTGGGCAAGGGACATTGAGCTCCTTGCTGTTGTCTGTCGAGTCTGTACGAGTGTTCAGAATCACTCTTTGTAAATGGCTGTTTCCTAGGACCAATCTGCATGGGAGACCCCATCTAGGGCAGTTAACCCAGACAGCATAGCTCCTACAATCATTGAGGTGCACAATGCCTCCACCACGATAAGGTGGTGACTCAAGGCTGAGATACTGTATAAACCAAAAAATTTAAGCACCTCTTGCAATCAGTCTTGTGAGTTTCAACTAAACAATCCAACAAATTTATGACATTTAAAAAATTACTTTTCCTTATACACCATGAAGTAAGTTTTCTATAGATGACCAAATTGATAATTAAAGTGATGGGAACATAAGTGTTCACTTACCAACAGGAAAACCTTGCTGTCAGGTTTCACTTTATGCTTCTCCATGTACTTGATTAAGCTGCTGTTTGCATACCTGTAAGGATTACGACAATGATTTTATTTCTGATATTCTGTTAAAAGGTTCTGATGTCAGATCATTCCAGTTTCCACTCACGTTGTCCTCCTGAAGTCTTTTTGTAGTGTGGGGTACTCAGGCATCTTCCTAATGTCCTCCCAGTCTTTATCTGTGGAACATACAAGAACCAGAACACTGATGGTTTTACAAATACATCACACACACACTGAACAGAATTGTTTTGTTGTGAATGTATAGGCATCTTTAGGCACTTAACTTACGAGACATTTTTCCTAACTTCTGTGCGTCAGTGACACTGGCTCTTCAGAACAATAGTTTATTTGAAATGTGATATCTAACTAAACTGAAGTCGGTTCAACCACAGTGTGCTCACGTGTGGAGATGCAGTTGTGTGCAGAGTTCAGACCTGCAGGAAAACCCATGACGCTGAATATGCGGTCCAGCTGGTCGTGGTGAAAGGGATTACTGGTCTTTATGTCTTCCTGGCGACAGTGAAAAATGGGCTCCGATGTTAGCAGCTCTGCGAAGATGCAGCCAATAGCCCAAATATCTGATGCATACACACAAATACAGACAGATAAGGCCATAGTTTGTTACTGCATATAAAAGAAACAAGTTTTGATCAAAATGGTCTTAAATTCAAACTACCTTTTGTAAATCTAAAAAAGTTAAGTCTGGTCCTCTGGACATTCAAAAAACAAAACAAAGCAAAACAACAACAAAAAAATGTAGCAATGTTTTGTTTCAGGTGAAAAGGAGGAACCCAGACCCAGACCAGTGGTCATTCCGTATGTATCAGAGAAATTGAGACGTTTATTTTCGAAACATAACGTCCCAGTGGCTTTTAAACCCCAAAATACATTAAAGACTGGTTCATCCCAAAGATCCAGTCCCCCGGCACAAACAGAGTAATGTTGTGTATGTTGTTCAGTGTCAGGAGGGTGATCAGTCTTACATCGGGGAAACTAAACAGCCACTGGCCAAAAGGATGGACCAGCACAGAAGATCAACATCATCAGGCCAGGACTCTGAGGTCTACACTCATCTCCAGGCCAGAGGTCACTCTTTCAGGGATGAAGATGTTCACATCCTGGACAGAGAGGAACGATGGTTTGAGAGAGGAGTAAAGGAGACCATCTTTGTGAAAAGAAATCGTCCATCGTTAAACAGGGGTGGAGCCTCCAGGTTCAACTGTCCCCCTCTTACAATGCTGTGATTGCTAGTATCACTCAGCCCTCTGTGAATAGTAAACAGCCATCAGGTGCTAATGATCCATTGTTAGGCTGATGGTCCTTCTTGAGCATGTGATCAGCTGGTTTTGGTTGTCAGCAGCAAAACTGGCTGATCCACTCTGAGAAGGTGCTATTTAAGAGACTGAGCTGAATACAGCTCCTCAGACTGAGGAAGTCCTCAGGATGAGAGACGAAACGTTTCTACATATTTTTTTGTTGTTGTTGTTTTGCTTTGTTTTGTTTTTTGAATGTCCAGAGTACCAGACTTAACTTTTTTAGATTTCTACCTGGATCATTGAGCATGCATCAGGATACCTATTGTAAAGTTGAAATACATGTATTTGTACAACTCAGATCAAAATATTTGGCCTTGCATCTAACCAAGTTTTAACAAAATATATCCAAATTATATTTTGAAATTTGAGGCTTTATTGGGAATAGTGTGCTATGACTTTTGGTAGTTGTACACTGCACAATATAGAGAATATAGAGAATATGTTGGAGGGAGCTGGTGAAGTTGCACGTTCGTGGTGAGATGTATTGTGTCACTTCTTGTTTGTCTGTCGGTAGCTTGAGTGAATTGTTTGCTCGAGTCGTCTCTTGTTTTCTGGATTTATCTCTCTTTTGCACAGTTTTTCATTCTACTTCACAAACACACTTAGTACAGTTGTTTTTCTACTGTTGGATAGTGCTTAAAAGTAGGGCTGCAACAATGAATCGATAAAATCGATAAAAATCAAAAATTAAAAGTGTTGGCAAAGAATTTCATTATTGATTCGTTGTGTCACGTGATTATTAAACGTCTCTCAAGGCGCTGCGGAGCCGTTTAGTTCAGCTGCAGTTCATTGTCGATGCTGACTGACTGAATAAAGTAAAAAACAACAACTCTGCAGCGTGAGCTGAACAGAGCGAGGGGGGAGGAGGAAGCAGAGCAGAGTCGGTGTTTTCAAAGGAAATTAAATTAATTTTACAAATGACCGAAAACTGTTCGACACAAGTCCTCCAAAGTGTGGGAGCTCTTCACAAAGATAAAAACTGAGCAACATGCAGCTTTGAAAAGTGACGACACGACACGGGAGAACCACAGAGATAAAACGTAAACATGTCTGAGTCACGAGGAGGAGGAAGGAGCTGAACAGCTGATCCAACTCTTCATGTGTTGCAGGTGAGTCTCTACAATATTCTACATTTGTTCTGTTTCAAGAGAGAAAACGTAACGTCAGTCTCTCTGGAGCTGAAGCTGCTGCTTGTTCTCTGATTCATGACGTGATGGAGAACGTGTCTTACTTTTTATTTTATTTCATTGGAACAAGCAGAGTTTAAATGTGATTTATTAATAAATCTAACACAAAGATAATCATTTAATGATTGAGCTTCAACTTTTAATTTGCTGCCAAAGTCTGAAGACACTGCAGGTATGGCAGGATGAATTGCATTTAAACAGGAATTAAAGT